TAAGTCAAGACCCTAAAGTTATTTAGTAAAATGTTTTTGTTCACAAATGTTTCTAACAAATCACAATCGGCAGAAGATTTAAATTGTTATTTAACAACAATCTTTTCTACTGCTTTGGTATCTGCAAGTTAATTATGTCACCAATTTGTATCTGAACCACTGTATTTTAATATGTTAAATAATTTAAGTAACAAGTTAAATTAATTCCAACGCTTATCTTTAGTTTTGTGTACCAGACATAACCAACTGAGAAAAGGGGTTTAAAAAATAAAATGCAATAGCTGGAAAGCAACCTCCATATTCCATGAATATGATCCAACAGTGCCACCTTATGTCAAGAACAGCACTACGCAATTAGTTACATATACAATCTGGAGAAGTACTAGATTCACACAAATGAAAAAGTTTCTAATCAAGCTCTTACAGAAGACTGAATGTGCAAAATAAAACACTAGATTCTTCTCATAACCTATTTCCTGTTTTTCTATGAATGTTTTCAAAGAGGAGTTAGATATGGTTCTTGCGGTTAAAGGGATCAAAGCATATTGTTAGAAAGCGAGAACGGAGATGTATGATAAACAATAATCATATTAAATGGTGGAACAGACTCAAAAGGGTCAACTGGCCTACTCCTCCTATTTATTATAGTAAACATCAACCTAAATTTAGTTACTGCCAGTGAATATTTAATATAGTCTATATTTCTCTACTAAATATTTAATAGCATCCATAGTTACAAGCAGAAGACACAACAAGTCCAATTACATCAGGATGATGATTTGCATTCTCATTTGAGATACCAAAGTTCAGTTTTTAAAACAACACAAAATTCAAGCATTTCTTTCCTCATTTTCAAAGCACAAGGCATTTTTGTTTTTCATGGCTTAATGTAAAAGAGTAGCTCAAATTAAAAAGAAATACACATTTTAAAACTTAATAACAGTTTATAAATTAATTCTTAAGAGTGAATTATCCATCAGTCAACAGGCTTCAATGTCATTTATGGTCAGCCAGATAACTGAAATAGATAAATCATTACACTTGCACAGCAGAAAGAAATAGCACAATTTGAAACCAATGTTATTGAGCACCAATTGATTACTAGACTCATCTTGTTCCATTCAATCAACTGAATAGTCTAGAAATACCATCACTGCTTGCATTTGTCTACATTCCACTCATCTCTTCTACATATTAGAGATTACACGTTCCAGAGATACTGTCAAAAATTATTGGCAAGTTGGTGCAGTCTACCTATAGATGATAAATACTGTTGCCACACAACGCCAGTGGTGAAGGAAATAAGTGGTGATTTAAATAGGCTGCTTAAATGTTGTTGAAGCTGCAATCATCCAGGCAAATGAAGAGTAGTCCTACTACATCCAGTCATGAATGCTGGTGGATAATTAAATGATTAACAGGAGGGCAAGTCTTCACAAGTATGCCCATACTCAATGGCCCACAATGCCCAGCACATCAATACTCAAGCATTTATTATCATCTTTAACTGTAAGTGACGAATGGATGCACAATCCTGACCTCTTCCTGAGGTCTCAGCATCACAGATGCTAGTCTTTATCCAATTCGATTCACTCTATGCGATGTCAAGAAACAGGTGAAGTCACTAGATATGCCCACCAGTCTACTCTCAATCATCAAACCGAATTGAAGGGGTCATTAACAGTGCTATGAAGCAGCACTTAGGCAAAATCACTGCTCACTGATGTTTAATTTGGGTTCCATCAGGACTACATAGCTTCTGATCTCATTACAGCCCTGGTCCAAACAGTGAGATCTGAGGTCCAGAGGTGGGATGAGAACAACTGCCCATAATAACCAGTATCCAGGTCATCAAGAAACCCGAGAAAAACTGAGTTTGATGTGAATCGGGGTAACATTCTCCACTGGTTGGAGTCACACCAAGCACTAATAAAGATGGTTGTGGTTGTTGGAGGACATTCATCTCAGTCTTAGAATATCATTGCAGAAGTTGCTCCATCACAAGGCCAAGAAGAAGAATATTCAATGACGAGTGTGCAATGTTCAGTATCATTTATGACTCCCCAGAAAGTGAAGCAATTCATTTCCAAAGACAGCAATATTTATTAGGCTCAAACTGATAAATGGCAAATACCGTTTGTATCACATACTGCCTAGCAATTGCCTACAAGAGAGAATCTCACTACCTTACAATTGAAGTGCAATGTCAATCTCACACTTACAGCATGTGACAGCAACCTTTGTGGAAAACACACTGTGTATGCTTCAACCAAACAGTTATGTGGCAAATTCTAAGGGGAGTAGTTCTCAGTCAAGTCAAAGGAGCTTCCAAACGTCAAGGCTTTCCGATACAATTAGTCAAGGGCATTGTCCCAGCTCAGTCCAAGGGCTCAGGCATGGGTCATTGCCCACTTGGGGTGCGCAGTCAGGAGCGGGCCACGGTCAGTTTAGCCGGTTCAGTGCAAACATTTAGGCATATCGTGGTACGTTTGTCAACAAGCAGCACACAGATCAGCCAGGGGGTTTGGTCAGTCATCACCTGGGGCTGTCTGTGTAAGTCAGTCATCGGAGTGGGCCATGATCAGTCCTGAGGTCAGCTGAAAGTTGGAAACTCGGTGCTGGGGACTGGAGGCAGTAATCTGCTGTAGTGATTATATTGAGGTCAGCTAGCTGGATCTCATTAGAATATGAGTACCCGATTGGACCAGATTAACAGCCCCATTTGGAGAGCCCTGGCTGATAAATATAAACAGGAGTGTCAGACATCCTGTTCACTGAGAGCTGGCTCAGTGTCAAGGACTCTCCATGTGTAAATAATGGGTAACTTGGAAACAGGATATTGGCTTCTGTTGAGTTATCTCACCTGTGAAGCAGAGGGGAAGAAAATCGCTGTGGGGAAATTTGACATTTGAGTGAGTAATATAGTACATGGCATGGCAGGATATGGAATGGCATGGGAGAGAGAGTCATTGTTGGCTACCACCAGTGGCCTCTACAGGGGAAATTGTGCAGCACAACAGTGGGCATGACCAAACTGCAGAGCTGGGCTCAGAAGGTAATGATGAGAATTGCAGCGGTAATGATGAGAATTGCAGCAGTAGTTCCAGGTGGCGTTGAGAAACATGTGAAGGATCCGTGCTGGTGAGCTGGCTAGGGAATGCCAAGAAGAAGGAGACATAGAAGTTGTGGGGAAGCTCTCAATTACCAGATTGCACCCAAGACTTAATGTGCTCAGCGTTACTTGCATTGCCTTGCACATTCAACTCCTAAATGCACGCTGTGAATGGTAAATGGCTGCAAAACACACCTGGGGTGAGTGCAGTGTTTTTATTTCTGTCTCAGCACACGGGCTACACTTGTGAGCATCATGAAGTCCTTCCTATATTAAAGTATGCCTTTCTTGGATGATGTAGGGCTGGGAAGACAAGGTCTCAGTACTCCTGCAGCACGTATAATCAAGGATCCCTCTAAACTTGCGAGGCTGCTGATTGGGTTTTGAAAGTTGCTGCCACGCATGGACCTTGAAACAGCTGGAAAATTTACAGGGAATCCAGTTTATAATCCGTTACTGTCTCTTTATGAGATAACTGGTGCTGCATTCATTGGAGTAAAGTCCTATGTCAAAGTTTCATGTAAAGACATTCTAAGGCACTCCCTGTCAGAGTGCTCCATGTCCTATCGTATTGAGGACGATGCTGAACACTGTCAATTATGAGTGATGAGAATGCTGACCGGTCACACTACTGAGGACTTGTTCTGCTATATTCCCCACACAGATTTGCTGCAGGCATGACTGACAGGTCATACCACAACAAGGGTTATCATCACTGTTGCTGCACAGCTTTAAAGGACAGAAATATAAAAGGAGAATCAGATGTCCCAGCAAGCCTAGGACCAGCACATGTCCCAGCAAGCCCAGGACCAGATGATATCGAACAGCTTCAACATAAAGAGGTCACTGTTAAAAGGTCCTTTCAGGACATGGAGGAGACACAGAAGGTCTGAAGTCTTCTGTCCTCTACGGCACCTGCTCCCGCTGAGTGAAGTGCAGTGTTGCCATCCTGGGACATTGTCATAGAACTATGCAAGCTGCTGGAGCAGCACCTACAACATGAAGGAGTGGGTGACCAATCATTCCAGTGGCTGTAAAGGGGACAACTGCACTAAATTTTTATGCAACTGGCTCCTTCCAAAGAGCCATTGGAGACTGGTTGGGATCTGTCAAGCTTTGAGCCAGAAATACACCAAGGCTGTAAGCAATGCAATTTGTGACAGATTACACCACTTCGTTGTATCTTGCCATGACTAGGTCACTGCTCAAGCCTTGGCAGCAGCTTTCGCCAGCTTAGTTGACTTCCCCTAGCTGTAGGGTGTGAAATATGTGTAAGAGTCAGGAAGGCCATATCATAATATAGCTGAATTCACCAATAAAAAGGTTTCATTCCATCAATATGCAAGACCATCAACACCACATCCTGGAAATCTGCATCAGGTCCCTGGAAGCTGCACTGATGCCTGTAGCCTTGAGAACTCTCGTATTTCTGTTGAATTTAAGGGTTGAATGCCTTATAAGGGTGGTTACAGGGGGAGACATTGACCTGGATTCTACACTCGATGCTAATGTGTAATACACTGGTACGAAACCGCTTTATCCAATTTTCTAGCAGAGCTTTTAACAAGTTCTTTTAAACATATTATGTGCCCAAACATCATTATACAGTGCATATTTTTGTTTTTAATACTAACTTTTAGTATAAATGACAACTTGATGAATGTTTGACATCGGTTGAAAAATTCACATGTCTGTTTGACAAAGGAAGAAGCTCAAGTAAAAAAGGTGACAGATCCATGTAAAGGGTGACAAAAGGTTGCACAGGATTGGAGGAAGTGAGAAAGTATTGAAGAAAAGATCTAGAAAGAAGAAAAGCATTAAATTATGCAAAATATGGACATTTCCAATCAAGCAACTTGGGAAAGTAGATGTTTTCCGGTAACATTACCTGAGGGTTCCACTCTGGGTCCAATTTATTTACAGCTGCAATATATTCTTGCATAGCCTGTTGTGCAGTCATATCACCCACCGCCTTCCATGCTTCCCTGTGAGTAAATAAGAAACTATTTAAGTTGAAGACATTTAAAGGAACATAAAACTGTTCAAATTTGGCTTGCTTCATCAAATGTACTACTTGGCATACTTCTGTTCCTCCTCTAAATTTTTTACCTCTCATCCCTTCCAAGGTGTGCAGTAGCTTAAGATAGGATGCAAATTTACAGGTGGCAACCCCCTACTCACTCCTTCAATGTATGAATAGTTACAAATCAGGTGAAGCCTCCAGCTGATGGTTCAGCAGTGGATAAGCACAATAACAAAGAACATACAAAGAACATAAAACATTTTCACACACAAAGACAAAAAGGTATCTTGAAACTCAAACTTAAATCAAGTTGGAAGGGAAGGCAGTTCCGAACCTTGAAGCATATCTTTCCACGAGAACCTTGCTTTTATGGTTTTATCTAAATCTCTGACTGGATTCCATCACACAATTTTGTATAAATAAAATAATAGCAAAATACTGTGGATTATGGAAATCAGAAATAAAACTAAATTGCTGGAAAAGCTCCACAATTCTTGCATCTACAATGAGGAAAACAAGTTAAGGATCCAAGTTGATGACGACTCTTTAGAACAGGAAGAAGAATAAAATGTATAATCGGAGATGTAGATTTTATCCCTCCAGTTGAATAATTGTAAGCTCCACATTGACAAAGGAATATTTTTGGTATATTGGATATATTTATTAAATACACAGACTACAGTGGTAAACCAAGGCTGAGAAAATGATCACACATCAGAACGAGTCATAATCAAGTCAAAACGTTAACTCTGTTTCTCTCTCCACAGGTCCTGCCAAACCTCCTAAATATTTGTCACTTCTGTTTTTATTTTAGCTCATCTATATTTCTTTCTCTATCAAAATATATAGTATGTACAAAATGTCATATTTCATACTTATTTAAAACATTATTCTTTTTAAGCCACTTACCATTTCTGTTTGCCTTCAAAGTCGAAGAATCCAGGCTTTGGAATGTTGCATTTCCCAAATTTGGCCTAAAAAGACAAAATATAGGTATAATAGCTGAAACAATCATTAAGTGTAACAAAACAGGTCAGTTACCAAAAACCTCACTCAGATTTTATTCTTTTGGATCATCCCCAGCAAGAGACAGAAGAGAATTGAATCCCATTTCAGCTGGTTGAATTCAAAGGTTAAAAGGGTGTGTTTCAGGCTTTGAAATCAATCGATGGTAGATGTCACAAACATGGAATCCAAGACTACGTGTGTGAACAAAGCATACTGATGGTTTGGAAGACACATCCTAAAATTCTTGCCTTTGAAGAGCTCTAGAGGCAACAGTCATGCCCTCATGACTGGTTCATCACTTTAGTCTTTCCTTGAATTTAATAAACGTACGCAATATACCACAAACATTGATCACTATGGAGCTTAAAATTATACAACTGCAAGGATTAGGACTACTCTTCCTACTTCACAATTTATACCATTCACAAGGGAGAAGTTTAAGTCTACAAGCTGCGCTTTGTACAAAACTACCCGGCAGTTCTCTAATTTCCTCACTGCATATTACTGTTCCTTCCTGTAGCTCCTTTGTCACATTCTTCTGAGTGACAGCATTCAATATCATACGATCATTTCGTAACCCAGGTTATCACCAATGTGGGGTGAACCAATAAAACAATAACATTGGTTAGAGACACAAAAAACTGCAGATGCTGGAATCCAAGATAGACAAACGGAAGGCTGGAAAAACTCAGCCAGCCAGGCAGCATTTGAAGGAGGAGAAGTCAATGTTTCAGGTATTACCCTTCTTCAGAACTCAACAATAACACTGCCTAATTAAAAGTCATGGCTTTACATGGGTTACATTCCTGAGCAAAACCATGCGTCCTTTTCTGACACAGCGACTGTCTCCTCACCTCCTGGCTCCTTACTTGGGCATAGTTCTTTTGGTGATGGGACAAGTACAAAGTTATTACTCAGGCTTGAACCACTGATAGTCTATCTGAGCAAAGAAGGTTTCGTAGCTGAGCCTGGACATGTATACTTCCTGCAAGAGTGACTGGACAACTCTCAGGTGAGGAAAGAACCAATTTTCCCTGCTTTAAGCCTAGAGAACCAAAAGGAATCACACAAATCAGCTAACTCGGGAGAGTCTGTATACCGCAGAGAGGTTACTTGAACAGCTCTTTCAAACAGCCAGCAAAAACACTAAAGACCAAATGGTTTCCTCTTGCCCTGCAAAGTTCACTGATTAGCTCCTGATCTGAGTGTGGTGCAACGTTTACACGTGGTCAACATTCCCTCTACGTTGTATGCAAGGTTCCATGCATAGGAATAGGCATCAGCAGGACGCATAGCACTGACTGCCAGTTTGGGAGGTCGCTGGTGCACACAGACCTCGGAGGCCTGGGTGTCAAAAGGAAAGTTAGAGGGAATGCTGGGCGTGAGGTTTTCAATGATGTTAGTTAGCTAATGCAGAAAGTATCTTTTCTGCTGTTTTATATTGGGCAACTACTAAGTAACATTTAGTTGTTACAGATCTTAATATGTACTTTTTTACAATAGAAGGCCAAAGACTTTAAATATTGGAGATTCTTTCCATCTCATGTTAGAAAATTGATATCTAAAAGGTAATCTGTCTCTATGGAGATTATAACTTCAGCCCTAACTTTCACACCATAAATTATTATAATCACGCTTATATTTGTTATTTCACCTGCAGTACTACGCTCCATCTGGTCACAGATTTATTTCTCCCACTTTGATCCTCCGCACTGGGTGTTCTATTATACAGAGAGAATCAAATTGGTTAATACCCAGCACTGCTTACAATTCTCAAGAAAGGACGGTGACACCTACGGTTTAAGCCAGATACAGATTTACAGCCACGTAGGAAATAGCTCTCTTAAGATCTGAAGAAGTTGATGATTCTGAAAATAACACACTCTCTCATTCTCCCTTAATAAGAAAGACTCTAAAGTTGATACAGAGAAAGGACAGCATAGATTTTATTTCTACCAAGGACCAAATTATCAATAAAGGCTTTGTACAAGACGTTTAGGAGCTGGTAAAACAGTAACAAGTTGCCTCGTAAAAAAAGATAAGCAAAAGGATTAAAGAGTTCAGACACTTATTCTTATTTGTTTGTAGGATATGAGCATCAATGGCAAAACCAACATGTTGACCATCCTTCATAAAACTGAGTGGTTTGCCAGGTCATTTCAGAAGATAGTCAAGAGTCAACTGATTGTTGTACGTCAGGAATCAGATGCAGGCAGAACAGGGTAAGAATTAGATTTTCTTCCCTGAAGAACACTAGTGAAACAGATAGGTTGTTACAGCAATCTGGTAGGTTTGTGGTCATTAATTCAGATTTATTGATTTATTGAATTTAAATTCCATCAGTGGTAGTGGAGGAATTGCATTTCCAAACTTTGTCCAGGTCTCTGGATTATCAGCTTAGTAACATTACCAGTACGCCACCATTCCTTACCTTTGATACTTGCCCTTTGGAAATTGGACAATCAAGTGGGAAGATGAAATTGACTGACTGATTGATATGAGATGGCCACACATCCATAAAAATTAAAGTGCGCAAACAAGCACTCAGTAAGGAAAAAGCATAAAAGAAAAAAATGGAAGCATTTGTTGCCGCACACAACAGAAACCAGGCCACCATCAAATTCTGAACTAATAAACCTTCTCATCTATCACTAGTTATATATCTACACTTTCAACTCCAATTATGCACTGTATTTAAACTGTCACTTCTCAGTAAACCACTTTAAAGGAACTACTTATGAGCCACAAACTATTTGAGCAGTGCTATCCTTGGCCAAATCTTTTATCAGGTATCAGGATATTACAGAAGGGTTTCTATTTATTTTCATTAACAAATATAGGGAATCAATGTTTATATTCATTCCTGTAGTTTACATTTAGATTGGAACTTAAATTCTTGTATTGATTTCTCAGTGGCTTGTTTATGATCCTTCCAGCATTTACCCGTTATGGATTTGCCCTTTTGTTCATATTGCTGGGGTTTACTTAATTTTACCTGTCCCTTGCGTCGTTACCACTATCGTAAAAGTTTAGCTATTCATACTTGTTGCCCAACTGACATCTATCCCTCACCTTTTCACAATCCTTGGTGAGGGCCATGCCTATTTGTACTTGTACCTTAGGGTTTACCTATATTGGAGAGTTCACCTGTTTGTGGTAAGCATTATAGCTGCTTGCACATGTCTCTTGGGCTCACCTGTTTTAGTGGGTTTTAGGCACTTTGTACCTGTTCAGGGATGCCTGTTTTACATGTTTATGGAGGCTTTTATTTACCTACTATCAAGGTACGTTTTACCTGTTACAAGTGAATACCATCTTTCAAGCTGCTCCAGGGGCACATTTTATCTTTTGACCTTTTCCAGGAAGACACACAAATTAAAGCAAAGGAGGGCGACACAGTGGCTCAGTAGTTAGCAATGCTATCTCACAGCACCAGAGACCTTGGTTCGATTCCTCTTTTGGACTGTGTGGAGTTTGCATTCTCTCCCTATGTTTGCATGGGTTTCCACTTGGTGCTCCGATTTCCTCCCACAATCAAAACAAGCATGGAATTGTTACAGTGTGGAAGCAGGCCATTTGGCCCATCGGGTCCGCACTAACATCCATGTACCCTCATGGACTGTGGGTATACAAAGATGTGCAGATTAGGTGTATTGGCCATGTTATATTGTCCTGTAATGTTCAGGGACGTGTAGGCTAGGTGGATTAGCCATGGGAAATGCAGCCTTACAGGGATTAGGTTAGGAGGTGTGTCTGGGTGTGTCATCAGAGGGTCACTGTTGACTCGATGGGCCGAATGGCTGTATAGATTCTTAGATTTCTATGAAAATAATATGGACACTGGAAATCAGAAACATAAACAGTGCTGGAGAAACTCAGCTGGTCTGGCAGCTGAGAGAGAGAAACAAAGTTAACGTTTTAAGTCTGAAATTACAAGAGTCTTTGAAATGACTGTGATGCTTGCCATATCAGGCTCGAAAGGATAATTCCTGCTTCTTCTCTTCCTACAGATCTGAGGAAGGGTCACTTGACCCGAAACGTCAATTCTGATTTCTCTCCACAGATGCTACCAGACCTACTGAGCTTTTCCAGCAACTTTTTTTTTGTTTTTCTCTCCTCCTACAGATGCCGCCAGACTTTGAGTTTCCCCAACACCTTGTGCTTTACACAGGTCTGTTTCCGTGCTGTAGAGGGACACGTTTTGCAAATAAAAGCAAAACACTGTGAACGCTGGAAATATGAAAATATGAACAGAAAGTGCTGGGTAAACTCAGTAAATTGTTCAGAGATAGCAGGAACTGCAGATGCTAGAGTCAGAGACAACAGTGTGGAGCTGGAGGAACACAGCAGGCCAGGCAGCATCAGAGGAGCAGGAAAGTTGACATTTTGGATCAGGACCCTTCTTGAGCAATAGGGAGGGCAAAGGGAACTGGGAAATAAATAGAGAGGGGAGGGGTGGGGCTGGGGAAGGCGATAGGTGAGTGGTGGAGAGGTGGGAGAGAAGATGGACAGGTTGTGTCAAGTCAAGGAGATTTTAAAACTGGTGAATTCCACGTTTAGGCCATTGGGCTGTAGGCTCCTCAAGCAGGATATGAGTTGTTGCTCCTCCAATTTGCGGGTGGTGTCATTGTGAGGCAGCCCAGGATGGACATGTCACCCAGGGAGTGGGAAGAGAGTTAAAATGCTTGGCAACTGGAAAGTGTTGTCGTTTGCCACGTACAGAGTGCAGATGCTCTACGAAATGGTCTCTGAGCGTACGCTTGGTCTCAATGATGTAGAGGAGGCCACATCGGGAGCAGCGGATACGGTAGACCAAGTTGACAGATGTACAGATGAACCCCTGTCTGATATGAAAGGTTGACGTTTCAGGCCTAAACCCTTCTTCTAGGCCCGAAACGTCAGCCTTCCTGTTCCTCGGATGCTACTTGGCCTGCTGTGTTCATCCAGCTCTACACCTTGTTATCTCAGATTCTCCAACATCTGCAGTTCCTACTATCTCTGATATGAAAGGTTTGTTTTGGGTCTTGAATGGAGGTGAGGTGGTATAGCACTTCCTGCAGTTGCTGGAAAAGATGTCTAGTGTGGTGGGGTTGGTGGGGTGTGTGCAGCAGATGAGGGAGTTGCGGAGTGAGCAGTTCCTACGAAAGGCAGTTAGGGGTGGGGAGGGAAATATCTCTTTGGTTGTGGGGTCAGAATATAGGTGGCGGAGAATGATACATTGGATGCAGAGGTTAGTGGGGTGGTACGTGAGGACCAGGGGGATTCTGTCTTTATTTTAGTTAGGGGAGGAGGGGGTTTGAGGGCAAGAGTGCGGGAAATGCAATGTATTTTCGATCACCGGAGAGGGAAAGTTACAGTCCTTGAAGTAGGAGGACATCTGGGATGTCCGGGAGTGGAACACCCCACCTTGGGAGCAGACGTGGCGGAGGAATTGGGAGTAGGGGATTGCATTCTTGCGGGAAGGTGGGTGAAAGGAGGTGTAGTCCAGGTAGCTGCGGCAGTCGGTGGGTTTGAAACAGATGTCAGTTTCAAGGCGGGCACCAGATATACATACCTGCATTCACCTACCGACACCCCACCCCTCCCCTCTCTATTCATTTCCCAGCTCCCTCTCCACTCCCCCATTTCTGAAGAGGGGTCCCGACCCAAAACGTCAACTTTCCTGCTCCCCTGACGCTGCCTGGCCCGCTGTGTTGCTCCAGCATCCACACTGGTGTTATCTCAGTACAGTAGTGTTGTTGTTGTTGTAACGTCTACGTGTTCCCAACCCCGCTCTCACCTGTTTGAAGCGGCTGTACAGGTAGAGCAGGGTCTCGCGGCCCGCCGCATGCGCGAGCGTCTGCACGTGCGCGGCCGCGCGCTCGAACTCAGCCTCCAGCGCGCGCCCTCCTCCTCCGCCCTCAGCCTCCGGAACAGGGTCCTCGCTATCGCTCGCCTGGTCTGACACCGCCGCCATCTCGGGGAGGGAAGGAGGGCGCCCGTGCCCCAGGCTCTGGGAGGTGGGGTGGGGTGGGGTGGGGGGTGGAAGTTCCCGCTGGCGTATTAATTATTCGTTGCAGAGGAAACGAGGGAGGGGGGGGGGGGGGGGTGGTGGTGGTGGTTCGGGGAGGGTCCAGCTCCGACCGTTTAACCGCTGGTTCTTTTCCACCCCCCCCCCCCCCCCCGACTTCTCACGCCGCTGCCGGTCCCGGAGCCGTCAACACTCCGGGTGGAACGCACCGGCCGCCGTGCGAAGGTTCCGCAGCGAAAATGCACCTTATTCTTTTCAACGCGCATTGACACTCATTTAACAAAAGAAAAAGACGCGCCGCTTTCTGCTTGTATTTACGTTTGTTTTCGAGCCACGTCTCCCACACTGATTTAAGTGTTCGCGTGATGTTGGCAACAGCATTGCACGTAATCTTGGTGACCGATAATACAATATAGCAGCTTGACAAACCGGAGCACTGCATGGTGTTATGTAGAACTGCCTTTAGAATTAGGGGGATATGCCAGCACACTACCCTGTATGGGTTACAGCTCGTAATGAAGGTTTGCTATTTGAAACTACATGGCCTCTTTGGTCTAGGTAGGTGAAAAAAAACACTTTCTTGTTTTAACCAGAGAGTCTTCTGTGGCTCACAAAGCACATTGGATCAGATTTTCCGTGGATTCGCAATTTCTCACAGATTTGCCACTTTTCCTTCTACTGAGATTCCTATCAGGGCTCCTTCAGAAACGTGGAGCTGTACTTCATTATGACCAGTACCCTTCTAGTGCAGAATTCTGGGCCACAACCTTTTTTTTCCGAAGCGGTGAGCTACAGTGTTCTGAAATTTAAAGGTCTGGAATCAGACAGCCTCGTTGACTGCTATGTTAAGATAAATGTTAGGTTAGAATGGTGGGAGGATGAAGTGCCATGTGGGTAGGGTGACAGAGTAGCATGCTCAGAGGATGAGAGGGAGTGGGTCAATAGCTTCATAAAATGAGAGGACCTGTTTGATAAGGACAGTAATAGCAGGAGATAGAACAGCAAAGAGTCCCTTCACTTTGTTTCTTCCTGGAAGAGCAAAGGTGTGACAGCACAGGAAGATATGTAGATAATTGTTCACCACTGATGGTGCCCATAAGCAGCTATTCATCCTCCCAGACTGACCTTTACCCATTCCTTTTGCTACTCAACTGTTTTTCTGTCTCTCTTGGCTCCATCTCCATCTATCATTTACTTCTGCCCCTAATGGTAAAGGTAATGGAAATGGATTGGTCAGTGGATGAGCCGTGGCAGACATTTAAGCAGATATTTCATAATGCTCAGCAAAAATATAACCAGGTCAAACCGGACTCAATGAGATGACCCACACATGATTGACAAAGGCACTCAAGGACAGTACTTGATCAAAAATTAAGGCATGTAAAATGGCAAAAACTAGTGGTAGGCCAGAGGATTTTAGGAGCCATTATTGGACAACTGAAGCGCGAATAAACGGAGAAAATTTGAGTTTTGATAGTAAATTAGCAACATCTATGAAAGCAAAGGACTTTGTATAGGACTTTGGTTCGACCACATTTGGAATACTGCGTACAGTTCTGGTCGCCACATTACCAAAAGGATGTGGATGCTTTGAAGGGGGTGCAGAGGAGATGCACCAGGATGTTGCCTGGTATGGAGGGCGCTAGCTATCAAGAGAGGTTGAGTAGATTAGGATTATTTACATTAGAAAGACGGAGGTTGAGGGGGGACCTGATTGAGGTCTACAAAATCATGAGAGGTATAGACAGGGTGGATAACAAGAAGCTTTTTCCCAGAGTGGGGTACTTCATTACTAGGGGTCACGATTTCAAGGTGAGAGGGGAAAAGTTTAAGGGAGATATGCTTGGAAAGTTCTTTACACAGAGGGTGGTGGGTGCCTGGAATGCGTTGCCAGCGGAGGTGGTAGAGGCAGGCAAGATAGCGTCATTTAAGATGTATCTAGACAGGTACATGAATGGGCAGGGAGCAGAGGGATACAGATCCTTGGAAAATAGGTGACAGGTTTAGATAGAAGATCTGGATTGGCGCAGGCTTGGAGGGCCAAAGGGCCTGTTCTTGTGCTGTAATTTTCTTTGTTCTTTGTTCAAATAGTGAGACCTCCAATGGGTATGTTAAAAGAGAGTAGTTAAAGTAAGCATGGGAACTTGGAGGATATGACTATAGAATTGGTAATGGGAAACAGGAAAGCAGATAATTTAAATCAATATTTTTACAATGGTCTTCATAGTAGGGGATACTATAAATACCCCAAAGAATACAAATAAGCAAGGTGCTATTAGGAGGAAAGGTCTTGTTGTAGGCTTTGTAATGAGGGACAAAGTATTTCACAAACTAATGGGGCTAAAGGTAGACTAGGACCTGATAGCCTGCATCCAAAAATTTTAAAGAAGGTGGCTGCAGAGATAGTGATTGGTCTAAAAACTTGAGAATTCACTGGATTTGAGGAGGGTTCCTGTGGATTGGAAAACTGCTGATGTGACATCCCTGTTCAGGAAGGGATGGAAACAGAAAGCAGCAAACTGTAGGCCGGCTGGCCTAACATCTGTCATTAGGAAAATTATTAAGGAAGAGATAGTGGGGCATTTAGAAAGGTTGAATGCAATCAAATAGTATCAACATGGTTTTGTGAAAGGGAAATGGAATTTTGGCTTTTGTTGCTGGAGAGTTGTAGTTTAAAAACAGTAAAAACCTTGTTACAACTGTACAGGGTTTTAGTGAGGCCGCACCTGGAGTATGGTGTACGGTTTAATCCCTGTATTTTAAAAATATGTATACTGGCATTGGGGACTGTTCAAAAGTGCTTCACTAGGCTACTTCTTGTGATGAAGTGTTTGACACATCAGGAATGACTAAACAGTTTACACCTTTATTCATGTGAGTTTAGAAGCATTACGGAGGGGGAATAGTCGAACCCTTCTGATAATTAAAATCAAACATAAGCCCCAATCTGTTATGATGGGAGTAGAGGCTCCCTATAATTACCCCCGAAATACCAGAGAAGCTCACCTTTCCCCTTGTAATCTGTTAAAAGAGGGGTTAAATGAAAGAAAATCCCTGATTCAGTTTATAAATAACAAGAAACAATTCATTTATTTAACCCTAACAATGAACAAAATAACAGAATTACTAACAAAGCGAACAATACCCCTATAGACTACAAACTACTCCCTAACTGGCCTAAATTCTACTGGAATGCTGTTCAAATAAACACAAGTCCCACTTACATAAACCCAATTAATAACTTAACAATAAATTAAAATTTAATCTCTCCAAGTTCGCACAGACTGTCTTCTGCAACACTGTGCCTTCTCCAGTCTTTTTCCTGTCGATCTCACATACCAAATGTCTTTCTTCCGCTGATTCTGCCGTCAGGGATGTTTTTCTCTGCATTCGTTTCTGTGAGGACTTTTAGCAAGAAATGCCATGGTGCCTTTTTATTAATTATATAGTGCTTTCTCTGAGAAAGGTGTTGTCTCTTGGCAGTTGGCTTTCCCTGATTTTCCAAATACTCTCATCTTTATACTCATGATGACATAACAATATTTCTTATGTAGGATTGATGTTCCCATCAGATTTAAATTTAATAGGTTTTTAGTATCTAAGGGCTTGGTTTAAATTGATTGGTTTAAATTTGAAAAGACCTGTTGCCTTGGTAAAAATGCTGCTTGGCTGTTTGCTACAAAATGTTTCCATTCGGGCGCTGTCTCTGTGCACCTGCGCTTCAAGTTGCTGGTCAGATATCCATTTTAACACCGAGCACTGAAAAAACACCATTTTTCAAAGGGACGATGCACTGCTTTTCCCCACTATCATTTTTTACCAATATATTCTAACTTCCTGCCTTCCAATTCATGAATACTCTACACAACTTCGTAACAGAAGAATGAGGGTGATCTTATTGAAACATACAAGATTCTGAGGGGCCTTGACAGGGTAGATGTTAAGATGTTCCCACTTGTGGGGGAATCTCAACTCGGGGACATAATTGCAGAATAAGTGCACACTTGCTTAAAAATGAGAAGCAAAAGAATTTCTTCTGTCAGAGCATAGTGAATGTCTGGAATTCTCTGCCCTGGAGGGAGTTATGGAGGCTAGATCACATAAAGTATTTAAAGAGGAGGTCAGCGGTAGTAAGAACTGCAGATGCTGGAGTCAGAGATAACACAATGTGGAGACCGCTCTTCTGTCTATTTATTTCTGAGCTCCCTTCCCACCCCCCATATCTGAAGAAGGGTCCCGACCCGAAACATCAACTTTCCTGCTCCTTTGGTGCTGCCTGGCCTACTGTTTTCCTCCAGCTCCACACTGTGTCATCTTTAAAGAGGAGATACAGAGTTTTGAAATATCAGAGATTTGACACTTAGGCTGAGCTAGCCTGAAGGAGGTGTTGAAACCTGGGGCAGATCAGCTGTGATCTTCTTGCACAGTGAGGCAGGCTTCAGGGTCCGAATGGCCAACTCCTGTGCCAGTTTCTTATGTTCTTATGTCTTGGTCTTTCTGTGTGTTGAGTAATCTGGTCAATGTAATCATCCTGGTACCTAGCTTGCATTTCTCTTCAAAGTAATATCCTTGGAGATTATTTACTGATTCGATTGTATTGTGTGGTTCATTCTACCAGAGCAGGTATGGTTTGAGTCTCCTGAATTGTGACTATACAAAGATGTATGCATACTGGTAGTCCTGCCACTGCTGGTCCGTTGATAACTATCAGATGGAAGATTCAGGAATCCAAGCTGAACTTGAGTATTGGCACACAATGTGATTCTGCCAAAGTGGAAAATTGGTGATCTGTTATTCAATGAGAAATGATCTCTCATGAGTTGTACCATCAAGTACCACTTCCTGAGTTATGTCTTTCAGGATGTGTTGTGGTGATATGTTCACATTAGCTGTCATTGTCAGTTTTAGCTGTTAATATGTGTTGTACTGCCTTCTCAGGACAAATGATCATTAATAGCTGTAAAAGCTTCTGGTTATCTTAACATTGAAATGCTGTGTGACAGTAACGATATGGAAAGTTGGTCATGTTCAGCAGTTTGCCTTTCACTCATATGAATCTCACTAACGTGTTTGTACTTGTGCGTTTTCTAAACATTTTCCTTGCTGCTAGTGTTGTGGTTCTGTACTGTCTTGATGATCACTTGTGTTTTGCTCTGGGGTTTGGGTCAGCCTTTGGAACCACG